GACTTAGGGTGGGAATTCCTGTAGCTGTCATCTCTACTGAAGTTGATGTATCATGAAATTAGGGCCTCAGCTAAAGCATGGTAATTAGACTGCTAATCCAATCATGACTCACTAGTGTGTGATCACATGTTCAGACTCAAAGACAATAAGGTTTCTTTAAGATATTATATATTTTTTGTGTAGAAGGCCTTAGATACACAGAAGTTTTTCATTTTCCTCCAGGCCTGAAATGATGAAGTTGCTCTCGAAATTTTTGAGATACGCCAATGCTCCACTAGTAACTTTTCACAGAATCACAGAATGGTTGAGGTTGGAAGGGACCTCCGGAGATCATCTAGTCCAACCTTCCTCCTCAAGCAGGGTCCTCTAGAGCATATTGCACAGAATTGCATGCAGGAGGGTTCTGAATATCTCCAGGGAAGGAGACTCCACTACCTCTCTGGGCAACCTGGTCCAGTGATCTGTCACCCTCACAGGAAAGAAGTTTTTCCTCAGGTTCAGATGGAACTGCCTGTGTTTCAGTTTGGGCCCATTGCCTCTTGTCCTGTCACTGGGAACCACGGAGAAGAGACTGGCCCCATCCTCTCAACACCCTCCCTTCAGATACTTGTACACGTTGATGACATCGCCTCTCAGTCTTCTCTTCTCCAGACTGAACAGTCCCAGCTCTCGCAGTCTTTCCTCACAGGAGAGATGCTCCAGTCCCCTCATCATCTTTGTAGCCCTCCACTGGACTCTATCCAGTAGTGCCACGTCTCTCTTGGACTGGGGAGCCCAGCACTGGACCCAGTACTCCAGATGTGGCCTCCCCAGGCCTGAGGAGAGGGGCAGGATCACCTCCCTCCACCTGCTGGCAACACTCTTCCTCATGCACCCCAGGATACCATTGGCCTTCTTGGCCACAAGGCCACATTGCTGGCTCATGCTTAACTTGTCCACCAGCACTCCCAGGTCCTTCTCTGCAGAGCTGCTTTCCAGCAGGTCAACCTCCAACCTGTCAAGGTACTTTTCTCCTACTGCTCTCTCTCTCCTAATTTGTTCCTCTAAATATAATTATCTGGTGCTGTCTTACACAATCTGATTATAAATCAGAGATATATCAGTATATTTGATTATATAAATAATATATATAGAAACGGATAGAGCAACTGTATCCGCATTTTAGGAGTGGGGGAAGAGGGAGAGGGATTGGGAATCTCTAGGTTAAATTAAATAATTTTTCTCTCAGCTGGAAATTCTGCCCTGTCAATAGTCAGTCATACTAAGGGTGGGGTGGGAAAAGCACCAAGGGAGGGGGAATAGCCTTGCTTTTTCAGCATGCCTGGGTAGCACACAGGGCCTCCATTCCCTGCCTGCTCATATTCACTGCCCAGTTGAGCACCAGCCTGGAAAGCCCCCAGAGCCAGAGCAGGACCACACTCATGTTGTAAAGGAGCTGCTCCCCCTGGCTCGGCTTAGCTACTGGGGCAGGAAGGAGGGTTGGATGGGGCAGTGGTGGCTGCTCTTAGCACAGGGACACCTCGGTGGGAGAAATACTGCTCTTTTGGCCTGGGGTTGGCCGCTGCTCCTCAGGTCTCTGCATCCTGAGACTTGTTTGTTGGAGATGGTGGTGTCTGCTGCTTCCCTTGTCTCTGTCCCTTCCTTTTATTTCTGCTGCTTAATGGCTTAATCATGGGGAGGAGCACAGCAACACATGGAGAGGGGGGCACTGCTTGGCCTGGGTGCCAAACCACTTTGCTGCAGCAGTGCCTGAAGTACCTTCCGCCATCCTTTAAATCTGAAGAATTTGCATTGTAAACACCTCTCCATCACCAACCGTTGATTGATTTTTAATAAAACAGTGGCTGTATAATATTGTTTAGGAACCTTCATTCAGTCAAAGCCTTCTCTTCCTTCTAGTGCTGCCTTTATCTGACTCGAACCAGCTCTCTGCTTGTATAAAGGACTTTTTATGGCCCACAGACCCTTGGGAGAGGCGTTCATCAATAGAGAAGGGAGATTTGAGGGGTGAGGGATAATATTGTGGAAGTTCCCATTTCTGGACCTATTTCCCCTGCACAGAGATCCTTTATTTCCCACAGATCTATGGACATGATTTGGGCCCCTAGTGACTAAAGTCTTTGACAATCAGTTCTTTAAGAAGAGTAGATTAAAAAAAAAACAAACTTCACATCACTGGAAATGAATAGCTTTACAACCTCTTAAGATAAGTATTACAT